TTTCAGCGTTGGGTCTCAAACTCAGGACAAGTCTCAGTACCTGTGGCTCCTCCCAGCTCTCCCAGCATCCCTCAGTACCTGTGGCTCCTCCCAGCTCTCCCAGCATCCCTCAGTACCTGTGGCTCCTCCCAGCTTTCCCAGCATCCCTCAGTACCTGTGGCTCCTCCCAGCTCTCCCAGCATCCCTCAGTACCCGTGGTTCCTCCCAGCACTTCTCACCTCTTCCCTACCCTAAACCTCTTCCTCCCAGAGGCTGGGCTTCCTTTCCCCCCAGCTTTAGGTCTCTATATAACTTGGCCATTTTGGCTACCCCCATCTCATGGCCTGAGCTGCCTCTCTTGCTCTCCCTTCCCTTCTCTCCTCTCAAGGTCTGGTTAAGTCTGCCGGCCATGTTCAGCCTGGACTCTTCTCTGCCTGCTTTCTCCCTTATATCTACAATAAAAAAAATCTCCATATTTTAGGAGTAGTCCTGTCTTCCTCCTTTCACTTCATTTCTTTTTCCCTATTCCATCAGCAAATCCTTTAAAATACCCGAACTGAGTCCCCATGCAAGCCCAAGAGAGCAACGGAAACCTCGCCTAGAGATGAACTTTTAGGACGTGGGGTTGTTAGTCACATGTATACTGTGTAAGCTGTGGATGACTCAAAAATAAACACTTGCACTATGACAGCCCTGGGCTCAGGTGCCACTCCCTCCAAGCCAGCCTGGGAACCAAGTCCCCTCCTCCACGGAGAGCTGGCCACTTACTCCTCACGTGGCACGGGCTTTCCTTCCAAGAGCTCATGGTTATGTAAGGTTCTGTATTCCTGGGCCAAGAACTGAGTCAGCTGCCTGCTCAGATAGGTCAGTTCAGGGAACCAAACCACACAGCCCAGGAAATGCATCGAGGCGGAGAAGCCAATGAACCTGCTGGGAGCTGGATGTCCTCAAGGGCAGCCAGCACATCTCCTTCTGACCTGGAGTGTGAAATTCAAGCTTCTCTGCATGGAGGACCTTTGAACGAAGTCTCTCTGTGGCCGCCTTGTTGGGGATCAGAATTGTTCAGTTGGCTCTTCTGACAACCTTTCCCCACACAAGTATGCAATGCTTTCACCGTATCAAAAAACCTCACTGTCTAAAGACTCCATTACAAACAGCTGTTCTTGGAGGCTGAAGGAACCTTCTAGAACAGCTGTTCTCAGCCTGCCTGAGTCAATGCCTCTGGAGATAGGCCCAGAGAATTGAAGAGGAAAAAAACCTTAAGTTCTTTGAGTGTTCGGTCTGTGTGTTTTAAAACTCACCATTGGAGATTTTTTCAGTTCCTTCTAGGATGCTAAAGCTATCACTGCCCTGGGTCTTGAAAAGATACCTCAGACACGATGATCACAACTCTAAGTCCTTTCCTTCCTCTCTCCTCCATCCCTGGCAAAAAACCAGGACAGAACAAATCTCGAACCTTGGTTTGCCTCTCAACCTTAGTGTTTCTGAAGCTGGGTCCTACCTAACACCTTTCTGTTATCCTCTGAACCTAAACACATCCCCAAAGAGAACTGTGACGAGCCGGCAGTCTTGAAAGGCTGGTGATAGACTCTGAGCCTTTCAGAAGGATCCTGCTACAAAAACAGGCCATCAGGGAAAGACAGAGAACGTCTTCCCATTTGAGAAGGTACCCCAGCAGGATAGAATGCCTTCTATTTTGTTCTAGCAATTTTCTGCCATGGGCACGAGAGATGTTTCAACATAGTGCTTTCCTTTCAAGCACAAGTACTTGAGTTTGATTCCTAGAACCCACGTTTGGAGTGAGGGAGCTGCCAGGCACGTGTGATCCCAAAGCTGATGAGATGGAGACAGCCTTACTCGCCCAATAAGTTACAGGCCAGAGAGAGACAGTGGGCCACTCCTGAGGAACGGCCATCAAGTATGTACACATGTGCTCCTGCACAGACGCAAAAGCAAGTTCTGCCTCGCTCAGCACTTTACATGGTCTCCTGAACCCAGAAAGCTTCCGAGGAATGGACGGATGGCCGCTGAAAATAGACTTGTCTGCATGAAGCCAGGCTTTGACTTTTCTGCCACCGATTGGCTTAAAATAAAGTGTCAGAGGTAACCTCCGCAGTCCACCTGTTCAGAAAAAAAAAAAAAATAGCAGTGGTTCCTCTTGCCTAGCCCAGGATCCATCCCTAGAACTGAAAAAGGGGGGGGGGGGGGTAGAGAGAGAGAAGAGAGAGCGAGAAAGAAAGAGGGGGAGAGAGATAGAGAATGAGAATATGATACAAGGATGTGATGAAGAGCTAGCCAGCCTTTCTTTCTCTGTGCCTCAGTTTCCCTACCTATCACACAGACAGCAAGTTCTGAACCCCATTCACAGGAAGCTAAGTGGCGCTTCAGCCATCCCGGTTTTCAACAATTTACATTTCCCCCAGCACTTGCTCGCGAGCCCCTCCCCCACTATTTTTTTTTCTTTTTATTCATTCCTGAAAGCTTCTATTATCAATCACTGCATGAGGTAAATTTTCAAATCAGCAGTCAGGGTTTTTAAGCCGCATGACTCCTATTACAGGCAAAAGGAAGCAGGTGACCAGCACCGACGCAATCTCAAAAATCCACGCTGCTGCAGGAGAGCGGGCGAGCGGGCGGGCGGAGGGCGGCGGTGCTCCGTTCATTCCCTCATCTCCATGGCTTGCATCAAGGGTGGATTTTTAACAAAGCCTTTCCTGAGGAAGGCTCTGCCTTTCGCAGGGGGCCCAAGGGAACAAGGAATAGAAAACAGGGAACTAAACAGGGAAAGGAAGGGCAGAATCCGTGCACGTGTTCCTTTGGAGTGTTTGAGCGTCTCCCAGCAGGCTCCACTAGGATTTGTCTTGAAACTGCCTGTTCCTGCGCGTTCGCGCTCCGCCCCCCCCCCACCCCCCCACCCCCCACCCCCCAATCCTCGTCCTCCCTCCACCCCCTCTCTTTCCCCTTTGTCAGTCTTTGCAGAAAGAGGAATGCCTCTTTCTCGCAGGCTAAGCCACTCCCCTTTCAGTTTCCCTGACTGTATTCTCCAGCACCTCAGGTGTTTTCCTGTCCCCAGTGGAGGCACCAAGCCTGCCTTTCTCCCCTCTGGCCTCCTGATTTTTTAATGTCACACGGTGGTTGAATTTTTGTACTGTTCCTTTAACCAAGACACTTGGTACAGTTGGGCCTCCCTGTCTTTTGGAGATCTGGACAAACCCCACACACTCAATTTGGGGACTCTGAAAATTTAGTCCCCCTGTGTAGTTTCAGCCAGTTGAAGGTATTTTCTCTCCCATGATGCCCTTGGTCATTAGTTGCTAAGTGCTCACTTATGGTTTCTGGATGTGTCATATGGTCCTGTATACAACACCACTCCCACACAATACTCAGTAAATGGCGTAAAAAGAAAGAGCCTGTGCCGTAGGGATAAATCGGTGATTAAGAGTGCGTGCCATTTCTGCGAAGGACTGAAGTTTGGTTCCAAGCATCTATGTCGGGCAACTCACAACCACCTGTAACTCCAGGTCTTGGAGTCAGACAACTCTCTTCTGAGCCCAGCAGGTACCTGAACCCATGTGTACATAGTTACACACAGACACATGGACGCACATAACTAAACATAATAAAAATAACTTTTTATATCCAGCACGAATGAAGAATACATGATTCACAGTATCAGTACCTCTCAGCTACCCTGTGTCTAGGTGGGAGAAGGGGTTTTCTTTGTCTGCTCTCTTCTCACTCAGCCCCAAGGCCTAGAAGGCAGCAAAGAAGCAAAGCTCTTGAGGTTTGGAGCTAGAGGTGAGAGAGTTCACATGGGCAGCAACTGGTGAAGCATGGAGGAGACCAATCCGCTGGTCAAATGAAAGGCGACCATGTTTCCCACCACACATTAGTGACTTGACAGTGAATTCAGTGGTGTTTCCTGTTTGCACTCATTTCTATCTGTAGACACAAATCTCTATTACTCAGATCCCTGAGTCCTTCCTCTCTGCACCCTGAAGCTTCAAGCAGGAGGCTCAAGACAAGATGCACCCCCTAAGCATGAATCTGAGCACTTCACCTCTCCCACTTCTTTCCCTCTGGGATAGAAAGCAGTCTCATTCAACCCCTGTCCCTGTGTTCACACCCTCTGCCATAGTAGGCACTCCTCAGTAGATTTCCTCCCAGCCCAGCCTATTTCGGACACTATTGCGGACTCCTGCCTTCTCTCCCATCATCCCCCACCTGTCTCCAGATAGAGATGAACACTGAAGAAGAAACAGATGTCCAAACACAAGATGCTCAATTTGAGCCTCCAAGACAGTAAACAAGCTGCAGAGAAAGGCCCAGGCTGGAAGAAGAGCCACCTGGACCCATGGGGGAGACCAGGGAGAGACTGCTTGCTGTAGCTCCCTCCCCCAACAGTTGAGCAGTCACTCCATCTCTGGGGCAGCCAAGTGAAAAGCGTTAGGAGTGGAGGGGGAGTGATGGGGGGTGAGGGGTGGACGACAGCACTCTCCCAAGTTCAAATGGGAGATACTCAGGATAAAAGTCCTCAGCTTTGTGCAAACATCAAGGTTCTAGGAAGAGTTCCTGAAATAAACATTCTCCACAAGACAAACAAATATAGAGAGGGTTGACGCAGGAAAACACAAGAGTAGGAGAAAATAAGTCAATGAAACATGGGACAAGGCAAAGACAATCTCAGAAGGCAATGGTAGTGACCCCTTCATTCAATGTAGTAACACCACTACATTGTAAAAGCCACGAAGTAAGACAGCCTTTTGCTGCCTGTCATGAAAGGTTTGCATATTAAATAAGACTGGAAACCCTTGTCTTTTTATCCAGCTGAGAATTTCTGCATCAGTTGACATTTCCTATCCCATGGTCTGGGCAGCAGTGAACTCAAACTGAGGACTTAAAATACTGATAGGTTGTAGGCTTAGATTTTTCAAAACCTACTTTCACCAGGAATTCTTAAACGATTCAACCAACCAGAGGTAGCAGAGAAAGAAGGTTAACAGGAGAAGGGTGTTGTGGACCTGTTTAGAAGTAGTAAATTGGATTGAGGCAATTCCAATCTTCCTTGTCAGGATATCAGCAGTCCAGTCCAACAGCAAACACCAAACACGAATCAGTAGCAGAAACAGCAAGGCTCCACCAAATCAGCGTAAGTCCAAGGAAGCAACAAGAACTAGTGGGAATACATTTCTCTCTATGAAGTGAAACCCAGCCAAGATCAGTGAAGACCAGTGAAGACCAGCGAAGCATTGCATGGCGTAGCAATGCAAGAGCATCCTCTTACTGTCTGTTGAGTTATATTCATGTTCTTTATAAATATCACATGCTCTTTCAAGCATCCACTCCAGCAAACCATCATATGCCCTCTCACGTGTTTTGCTTCTGCAAAAATGTCCTCTCACAAGACAGTTTCCAGAGAAACATCATGTGACACAACTGAGTTTCTAAAGAATCCAGAAATTTCCACTTCAAATAGAAATGGCTGAAAAACCACTCTAGTACCATTCCAGTTCTGAATGATGAGAATCTTGAGGCTGGATATAGCCAGGATAAAGGCATGGTATGATGTCTTGATTGTCAATGTGGTTGAATTAATAAACATCTAAGGCATTAATGAGGCACACCTCTGGGTGAGGTTCTGAGGGTACTTCTCAAGAGAAGTAACTGATGAGAAAAGATGCATCCAGGATGTAGACTAGGATGGATGGAATGACAGAGAAAAAAGCAGAAAGCCAGCTGAGTACCAGCATCCATCCCTCTCTGTTTTCTGGTCCACTGAGGTGTGAGGAGTCCCAGCCTCATATTCCAACTACCACAGAAACACCTGACAGCATCCTTCCTCATCGTGATGACTTATAGGTCCTCAAATTACGTGTCAGAATAAATCTTTGCCCTCCGAAGTTGCCTTTGTCGGGTAGTTGGTCTCATCAAGGAGAAAAATAATTAATAAACAGAGTGTACCGGGCTTTCCTGGTATCATTCATTACAGGAGGCTACAAGTCACTTGCTGGAGGAAGCAAAAGAAAAGAGCTGGACACCACCCATGACTGAGGCTTGTCTTCCAAAGCATTAGGAGTGCACGTGTGCGCAGGCATGCGTGCATTCGTGCACTTGTGGGCAAGTGGGCAGGTGGATGTGGTTGAACACGTGTGTGTGGGGTGGGAAGACGGGCAATAGCTCACCAAGATCAAAGAACAAAGTGAAGTTCTTGGTGGCCCAGGCTCACAGTGCAATTCCCCTGCAGGGACTCAAGCAGTCTATCTGCACAACAATGCTGAAGAAGCCACCACCACCTCTCCCACCTCTCATCGCATCAACAGACAGGTTTTTGTTCTGTTTGTTGTGTTTGTTTTTGTTTTTTTAATGGAAGAGTCTGATGATGTTCCAGTCCAGAACCAACAAAACTTTCAGTGACATTGGTTTTGCAGTTCACCGAGTTGCTTAGAAAGAGAATGGTCCACGACTTCCTGCGAGTTTCCTCACAGGAAAGCTGTAGTTGTGTAGCTCACTTAGCAGCCACGCGAAGGCCAACAGGAACTAGATCATCCCGCCTGTCTAGCCCTGTTGCCTTGATACTTCAAACACCCATAAATGCAGTCATGTTTTCCCTGCCAGGCAGAAACTTAAAAAAAGAAAACAACTTAACTTTCCCACTCAGCATCTGCTTACCGTCCACTGTTGAAATCACAACTAAGACCAATAGGAAAGTTATCATTGTAATCGTGAAAAACAAGACTTGAATTCCAGTCAGTGAATACTGGGTATCAACTTGACAGGAATTGTCACCTAGGAGACAAGGCTTTGGGCACACCTGTGAGCTGTCATCCTCTTCATTCTGAGGTGGGAAGTGGGCGGCGCCATTCCCTGTGCTTGGGTCCTAGACTGCATTAAAAAGCAAAAGCTAGCCTTGTCCCCAATACTCTGTTTTCTGCTTTCTGACTGTGGATTTAATATGACCTCACACTACTGCTGTCAGGACTTCCCACCATGATGTACCGGGGGACACTAGGACTTTGAGCCAGATAAACTTTTTCTTCTTCAGTTTGCTTTGCTCAGAGTATTTTATCACAGCCACAGGAGAAGCAACTAAGACACCAACTCTCCTTATTTCCCAACACTGCGACCTGGGGCAAGTTCCCAGGACTTGGAATTTCAATTTCCTTTTCTGTGAAATAGAAGTTGCTATGAGAAACAATCTAAGAGCTGATACACGGAGATACCGTGATTGTTGTCATGCCAATAACAAGAGTAAATAAGGATTCAGCTGACTTACCAAGTAACACAAAGAGTAATTTCTCCTCACCTGAATGCTTGCCGTCACATGAATATGATTATTAGCAGACAAGCTATCTTTAGTTTTATGCAAAAATGTTCTGCTCCGATTACACCGCAAGCTCCGAGAAGCAGCACCATTTCATCTAACAACATCCCCCTCCCAGTGGCAACAGGAAAAAACGCCTACGATTTGCACATCTGAAAAGCTGGGTACAATAGGTTAGCATGATGCTAATAACAGAAAGGTGCTATGCTCTATACCCAAACTTACACCAAAGTTTTGTTTCCTTGCTTTGACCAATGTAAAGACGGCAAGCAGAGACAGCAGGCACTGTCTCTAGACTCTTCTCTGCTTTAGAAACAGCTCTACGAAGGCAGCCACAGCCCCTTTCTGCAATTTGCTCACTAAAATATGATGTAAGGGTATAAGATGCAGGGTGAGACCCTGCATCTTATCCCTCTTAGCACACCTACGCTCACATAGTACACCAGGATGAATGCATCAATGGTCCATCCACAAGTACCAGCAAGCAACGATGGCTCAGTGGTAACGGCATCTGATGCCCAGCCTGAGGACCTGAGTAATTTTACAGAGACTTTTTTTTTTTCTATGATAGAAAGGGGGAAAAAACCTAAGAGAATGGATCTGGAAACAGGGCATGTATTTCTTCAGTGAAACTGACAGGGTCTTCAAATCTGTGGCAGTAGAGGTCCTAACCCTAGTGGCCCACATCCTTCAGATAGATATTAACACTAGCTCAGCCGTAGCAACAAAGAAGAAATACTTAACATTACACTAAGAAGCCCCTGAATATTCATGGCACAATGTGCTTCTGGTGTTAGAACTCAGTGCTGAACCCATACCACAAGCCAATGTTCTAAAGACATTTTTTTCTAAATATCTCCCCCTGCTTGATTTCACCATCACCCTTCTAATCCAATCATGGCCTCCGCCTCCACCCTCTTAATTTTGTTTTTTTAGTTTCACCATCTGTTCTGTAGATATTCCCAAACTTAGACCAGAGGCCTCAGAGGAAATCTTGAGGTGATACCCTAGACAGGTGTGAGGCCTGCTAATGTCTTTAAAAAAAAAAAATCAATAAATCTCTTGCCCTCCATTTTCCCAGAAATTAAGGAGAAAAAAATTATTCTCTTCATAAAAAAAAAAATAACTCCTTTTTTCACAGGGGTCTCAACGCACCCAACAGGAACTGCTTTTACTTCACGCTGTCCTGTCTAAATCGCTCTGAACTCCCCAACATGGATGTGTATCTATGGGCTCCTAATGATTGTCACTAGATTCAGTCCAGACCTTAGGCCCCTCCTGACCTTACTGAAAGGCTGGCCAAGAGGAAATTCACATGAAACAGAGCTCAGAGTGGTGTGGCTGTCATGGTAGACACTAGGACAGTTCCTCAAAATATAAATAAAGGTATGTAAATAATGTTACCATACAGTCTTCTAAGTATGCACCCAAAAAAGTTGAAAGCAGGGACCGGAAGACACACTTGTGCACGCATATTCACAGTGGCTCTATTTACAACAGTAAAGAGGTAGAAACAACCCACATGTCCACCAGAGCATGAATGGGTAAACTCAATGGAGATATAGACTACTATTCTGCCTTAATAAGTCATAATTTTTAAAAAGGGGAGGGGAGTTATTTTAGAGGACTTTTATCTTTTGTTTTTAGTAGTGGTGGTAGCTATTTCATTTTGTTTTTTTTTTTTAATTTTTGCTGGAAGGTTCTAGGGAGTTGATACAGTATCTTGACCATGTCTCAGGCCAGCCTGGAATCCACTATGAACTCCAGGCTAGCTTAGAGCTTGTAATTCTCCTGCCTCAGCATTCCAAGTGCTTAGGATTACAAATGTCCACTACTGGAGCCAGCCAAAGTTAGTACATGCTTACAGAGACTACAGCACGGATCAACACTGAGGATGTAATGCTGAAGGAGAAAAGAAAGTTACAGAAGACAAAGGCAACATGATTAGATGGGTAGCACAGCCTTCAAATCCATAGAGAGAAGAGCTGTTGTTGAGCTGGGGAACACGCCACAGGGTCTTCAGTGGGTAACACATTTCAGGTTTGCAAGATAAAGTGGTTTCTGAAGATTGGCTGGTGACTTGCAGTCAACACCACTAACTACAGACTTAAGACAGTGAATTTATTTTATGTCATGTGTACTTTATGACAGCTTCTTAAAGGGGAAGGGATACCAGGACTTTCTATGTCCCAGGACCATCTGTTGGTCCCCAAAACCCAGTTTGAAAGACTGAGCCACATCACCCTCAGATCCTGCCATGGCAAATCTCTTGCAGCCAACAGGAGTCTTCCTGTTCCTGAACATCTTGAGTTGCACAAGAATAGGCTTTTGATTGTAGCACAATCATAGCCCACAGAAGTAGACATATCAAAAGCTCCCTCCCATCTGTAGTTAACATTCTGTTTCTTAACCTTGTGATGGTTACATGTGTGTAAAAAAAAATCCACCAGGACAAGCGCAATGGTACATATCTCTGATCCAAAGGGGAATTACAGGCAGAGGCAGGAAAATGGCAGGTTTGAGGCTTCAAAAAACTTTTTGAGGTTTTTTGATTTTTGTTTTTTTGCTTTTCATAATGAATTTAAAGCCAGCCAGGTCTCTGCAGGAAGACTCTGCCAGAGAGAGGGTGGAGGGAAGGAAGGAGGGAGGAGGGAGGGAGGGGGAGAGAGGGAGAGGGGGGGGGACGAAGGAGCATGTGCAGACGGAAGTTTTTTAAGGAGGGAGGGAGGGAGGGAGGGAGGGAGGGAGGGACAGAAGGAGGGAGGGGAGGGAAGGAAGGAGGGAGGACTCACTAAGCTGGACACTGTTAAACTCCAGATCCAGCCCTGCTTTGTTATTGCTGACTTGATTCATGCAGCCATCTCCTCAAAAGATCCTATGGAAAGG